CGCCCTCGCTGCTGGCCCCGCGGGCCGCGTCGGGGGCCTGTGGTCCGCTTCCACGCGGGAAGCCGTGAGGTGGGGCCCTTGTCCGGTTTTAACACCCCGGGACGTTGGCGTGTCCCCGGGAGCTTCGGTTCCTCTGTGGCAGGACCAATCGTCAAGTCGGGTTTAGCCCACGGGGATGCTGGAGTGGAGGATGTGTTCCGAGACGCCTCCGTTACTTTGTTGCGGTGTCACTATCCAAGGCCAGTTTTAACAGACAGGGTTGTTGACGTCAAAAGCAAGTTTGTCTTCCAAGGCGATTCGGTTACTTTGTTGCAGTCTCAATATTCGGGTCCAGTTTTCACAGACAGGGATGTTGAAGTCATGTTTTCTGAGACGATTCAGTTACTTTGTTGCGGCGTCAATATCCAAGGCCAGTTTTAACAGACAGGGTTGTTGAAGTTAAGTGTGTTTTCTGAGACGATTCAGTTGCTTTGTTGGAATGTCACTATCCAAGTCCAGTTTTAACAGACAGGGTTGTTGAAGTCAAAAGCAAGTGAGTTTTCCAAGGCGATTCAGTGACTTTGTTGTAGTGTCAATATCCAAGACCAGTTTTAACAGACAGGGATGTTGAAGTTGAGTATGTTTTCTGAGACGATTCAGTTACTTTGCTGCAGTGTCAATACCCAAGTCCAGTTTTAATAGGCAGGGTTGTTGAAGTTATGTTTTCTGTGACGATTCAGTTACTTTGTTGCAGTGTCACTATCCAAGTCCAGTTTTAACAGACAGGGTTGTTGAAGTCAAAAGCAAGTGAGTTTTCCAAGGCGATTCAGTGACTTTGTTGCAGTATCAATATTCGGGTCTAGTTTTCACAGACTGGGATGTTGAAGTAAATTTTCTAGGGCGATGTGGTTTCTTTGACGTCGAAGTGAAGTAAGTTTTCTAAGGCGATTCGGTGACTTTGTTGCAGTATCAATATTCAAGTCTGCACCATCAACTCCAGAGTTTAAAGCTCAGTCTCTTCTGTCTCACACAAGAGCAAAAACAGAATAATCTCTTCCTAAAAGAGTGCTTAAAGTTCAAAGGGCGTGGCATATATAAAGCATATGTGGACCATTTGATGTGCTAAATAATTACTAATTATTGTTGTTTCATCTCTCAATACCATCATTTTTATGATCTTTTAAAATCATAACCATAATTACTATTGGAATGTGATCCACATGTGAGAAGAATATAGCAAGAATCATGTTTTCAGACTGAGATGAAAATGCCATGTTATTTCTAGTAGCTGGGTAGAAAGCATAGCAAGGTGATTTCTCAGGAATGCTCAGAACAAAATTGAGCCGCAATTTACCTTGACATTTTAGAAGCAGCATTAAATATTATGGCAGAAAACTTGCTTAGCTAATGTTAGCAGCATAATGGAATAATAACATGCTGCTCATATACACATACATCTCCATCTGTTTCTATCTAATCTCTGTATCTATCCCTCATTGTCTACCAATCTGTCTTACAAATTGTCTATAATTCAGCTATCTTGTTAGCTGGCCAGTGCATCTATTATCTGTCTATTTTCTATTAGCTAATCAGTACCCCTGTGGCTCATCTCTCTGCCATACCTCTATCTGTCATCTGTTTGTTAGTTGATCAGTCTTTGGTGTTCCTTCAAATGTGAGTGAATGTTATGCTCCTGAGAAGTCTGAAGAAGAAAAAAAGTCTATATTTTCACACTGTACATTCTTAGAATATGCATATCACTGTGAGTTGCTCCACAGTGTTATAAACACAATTTCAAGTACTGGTTATATAGGCTGACTCAAGATAGACTGTTTTAGAATTTGAGGAAGTGCTGCAGAAAATATTTGTGAAAGGTTTTTAAGCAAATGCATCTGTATGTCATATTTTCAGAGGTGCACGGTGTGTGTACACCTACGATTTGATAATTGGAGGTTTTCCTCGTGGTGATAGAAAGAAAGTTTTAAAAGGTGGAGCAAAACACACAGACTTTGCCTTCTAGCAAAACAACATTCTTGAAATACAAATGAAGAAAAGGGACAGAAAGCTTGTGTCATGGAAACAATAGGAAATTGGATAAAATCAGACTCAGCTGCAGCTTTTAGGATGTCACCTAACCTCACTGACCCTCAAGTCACCTGTGAAATGGGAAAAAATCATAATTAGTTACATTTTAGGGTTGCTGTAATGACCACCATTCAATAAATGGAAATGCTAATTAGCAGTGCTAGTGTTAGTACGGCGATAGTGACAGAGATGGACCACAGTGTTTCTATTTTTTTTTTTGACTCGGAGTCTCACTCTGTCACCCAGACTGGAGTGCAGTGGCCGCTCCCGGCCACCAAAGCCTCAACCTGCTGGGCTCCGGTGATCCTTCCGCCTCAGCCTTCCAAGTAACTGGAACTACAGGCGTGCACTACCATGCTTGGCTAATTTTT